TAGTCTCTCCCTACCCTGGTGATATGGTCCTTTTACCCCTCCCTCTTTTATGTTTTGTCTATTTCATTGTTATCAAGAACGTTTAGAGACGATGGATACTCGGAATTGATGAGACCTCAAAAATACGCGCTATTCAAATGAAATGATGTTTTCAACAGGCTTTGAGAACAACAGTTATTCTACCGTGGTAGCCGTGATGGCACTTCTAACTACCTTGAAACCAGTGGGCTTATGAACCCTCTAGTTCACCTTCAATCTATATTGGTTTCAATGTAGGTGCCGAATTTCTTTCTTTCATACACTTATGATAATTGCCCAAACAGTTCCCTTGTTTTTTCCAATGCACTATTTTGAACAATCTAAATGATTAAAACGTTTTTGCTGTCCATTTCTTCAATTACTTTCTCTGAGTGCTTTTTGAGGGTGTTGTCCCCTACTCAAACGAACATCATCCGACTACAGACCCTTATCCGCTGTTATGTGTTCTTACAGAAGCTTGTGTACCACCCAAAGAGAACATCCGAAATGGATGGATCGAAAGGAATTTCCATTTTTGTACACGTTATGTTTTAACTGATACAGGTTAAGAAATTGAGTTGTGATCAATGTGGACCGCTTTGACGCCAACAGTCCGCGATTTGCCTTGTTAGAACGGAATCCAGTATTTCTTCCTGAACAGCAACAGTGTTTTTCGGTTCAAACCTCGCATATGTGATCCAAGACGTAGTTAGCCGGTTACTCCTTGTCATTTCATTTGGATTACTAACTAATTGAAGCAACGAGGATGAGTTGATGGTTTTATAACAAGTGCCGTGAGTAACTACTCACATTTGAGTAGTATATTTGGGTGCTAAAAAGGGGACATGACTGTCGGTTTCTCACAGTAGTCAAAAATCAACAAGACCTATGAATCATTCTGTTCAAAATGGTAACCACAGAAATTTGCACGTCTACCGTTGAACTGTTTCCCTGTACGACTGTCAGAATCGGTCTGCTGAAGACGAAAAGCTTCGGCCTATGCAATGCAGTTCACCCGCACTCATATCTTGGTTCCAAATTATCCTCGACCCGGCGCTGTTTTCTGAAGTTATAACAAAGGCAGTATCTGAATGACCAAATGGAATTTCCCCAGGCGGAAATGCTTGACCACGTGCTTCTCACAGTTCAGCAAATCTCGCTGATGAGACAATCGAGTGATGTGAAGGAATAAATTTTGCTTGGATCGCTTACATGGTTGAGGTGGATCGAAAAATTGAAAGAATGAGTCCGTATTGGTCGATCTGGTCACAGTTTGACGTTCGCCACTCAAACGATTACGATGCACTTTGGACGAGGTGATTGTTGTCAGATCTCGGTCAGGTTTCCAGTTGATTGTACACCTTTGGGATCAAAATATTATGGAAAGAAACAGCAGAATATATCACATTTGTCAAACTATCTCCCTCGATTTTATCATACTTTGAGCTGCGCACATCACAATACACACAAACTGCAATACACAGTACATGATTTGGGAGATGCAATCGCATAAAAATACCCACGAAACAATCGGTATTCTTTGTGCGTAGTAACTTAAATGGATCCGCGTTTTTCACACTTATTCGTGCATTCAGTTTGAAAGTCAACCGAATGACAGTATAGGGAACCATATGTTACCATACCGTCAAATCACTCAAAAGGGAGACTTTTCTTACTCAATTACGATCGGAGAATTTGGGTAAGGAATCGGTAACACTTGTATTTCTATCCCCTATCTGTTTTATGAAGGATTGCGCGCTACCTAATGTTGTCTGGAAGCCTGTGCGTTAAATGTCCCAGCCATCAGAATCCACCTTGTTCAACCATATACTTTAGTACAAGATGATTGCTGCTGTACACGATATATCAATGATCATAATGATTCTAATCAAATTCCTAACACTGCAAAGAGAATGTGATGCTTGAACACCCCTAACCATTTTGTTTTGGATCAGTTATGCAGACAATTAGAGGATGGAATCTACTGGAGAGATTGCGAATGCAAATTGTTCATTGTACATCTCATTATGTAACTTCATGTTCCGATATTCATAGTTTATCTATACGTTGAAAATAAAACGCATCCGGCTACCAATTTGCGTGCTATGTGCAACAATCAAAGCTCCGGACAAACCATGAGGATAAGCTGTCTACCTTGATATCTATGGTTATATATTGCTTCCCTTGCTTGCGTTGGGCAAGTTATGCAGGACAAACAATGGGATACTTTTCACGAAGGATCAAAAAACATAAATCACCCTACCAAGGATGGGGTGAAAGAGAACAATAACCAGTGGGCTTGTGGATTCAGACAGACAAAGATGCATTTAAAGTTACATGCAGTGTCCCGCAACCGGTCCAAGTACGTTCGGCAGCGCCAAATGACAACAGCCGAAGTAACCGTAATAAAAATTGTAAACCCACTATTATATGGACAAAAGAAAATGGTTGTCACACGCAAGTTACCATGACCCCATCCCACCGTACGTGACGAGCCGGGACATGTCTTCGCTCAACGCTACAATGACGTAACATGGCCTGACACGTCGCGTGTGCAAAAGCGTCATCGGAAATGTAGAAAAGTGACCTCACTTCTCAATGTGCTCTTCTTAGACCTTGACGAATAATATTGTTCTTTCTCATTCTGCCAATAAACCAATCACGCTCCTTGCTAACTCCCATATCAACACAACTGTGAATACCTAAGTAAGACGTTAAAAAAACCAGCTTGTTCGCTGTATTGCTTGTCTTTGGATAGCATTATGGGACTTTTCCACTAATCTCGATTTGTTATCTTTCTACACACTTTCTCGGGCTCTTTGTATTACATATTGTATATCTGATGTGAATTTCACTTTCCTAAAGTTCACTGATTCCCAAATCATTCGTGTTTCCGGTCCCAGTATGAGTTCAGTTCAGTTTGTACAATCATTAACAATGCACTTTTGTACGCCGGTTTCGGTTGCCGTCTTTTGAATACCTATTTGGCTGAAACAGTAGAAGAAAGTCAGACCGTGAAAATCCAGGCAAGTTGCCAGTTTCCGGATAGTTTGAGCGCTAAGAAGAGCGCATTGAGAAGAGAGGTTACTTCTGGAGATTTCCGATGATCATTTGGCACTCGTGATGTGTCAGGCCGTGTTGCATTATCACAACGTTGAGCAAAGACATATTCCGGTTTGTCACGTACAGTAAGGCGGGGTCAGGGAAACTGGAGTGCGACAACTGTTTTCTTCTGTCCGTATAGCAGTGTGTTCATGCTTTTGATTACGAGTACTCTACAGTCGTCTCAAGTTCTTGAATGCCAATCGAGCCTTCTGTGTGCGATCTGACGCTTCATGCGTGAAGCGTCCATCGGGTGAGATATAACTGCCCAAATAGCAACACTTGCTGTATTACTTCCCCAGTTAGAGTGAGGCTGGGTGCTAGACCAACTCAGTCTTGTAGTAACAATTAACACTTCGAAGGTATAAAACGCATACCGAACATGGCTACGCTAGCACTTAAACTGTTCAGAAAAGCTTGCAGTTTACCTGGACCCTCACTCAGTAGTACAATGTCCTCCACCATTTGGGAGTAAACCGATGCCACTATCCTCGCACGAAGATAGGACTGTTTCAAGAATCAAATCTATAACAGAGTTAAATGGAAACGGAGTGGGAGAGCAACCGGCTTTCTGTGGTGAACTTGGGTAAAAAAGTCCCCGCATGAACACAATGTTCATACAATTATGACTATTCTTAAGAAGCATGAAAAAGCTATATGGTACCATTTGTCGACCATTATTCGCAAAACATTTCTGTCGCGAGCAGCGAGCAGTTCACATTGGTTCACTAGAAAACTCACCCTTCTGAAGCGATCACTTCGGGACCATCATAAGATAAAGGGTTATCCTCACGCAATTCGTAGCCCAAATAGTAACGTTTTGTCAGTACCTTGTTTGTAAAATATTCATTGGGTTCAAACTCGAATTCCAGTTGAAACCCCTATGCAAAATGATCAATAAAATTATGAATTGACACAGTAGTTACAAATTTTAATTGTTGCTCAATTTCCTCAACTATTCAAGTACGAAAGCAGTGTATGCATAAAACGAAAAAGTGTTCCCCTTTGCAAAACTATTCTGTCTTCCGTCTGTGCTATTTATTGCTTGGACACTTGGTTGCCATTTAAGGAAAACGGCATAAAACTGGTATTTCCAACTCACAGTATGTTACCTATGGTCGACTTCTATGGTTCGCTTCGTTATAACCGTTATGCGGTTGTATATAACATAATATGGATGTACTCCCCTGATGTGAAGGTTTACACGTCAACCATAAATTTTCACAAATGGAGTTTTTGGACGGGCATGTCTGTAACTGCCTCTACGATACTCATTTAAGTATATTTTATTGATTTTATTAAACTGTATGCGGGAGGGTAAAGTAAAATTCAAGCTAAAACCAGTTTTTTCTGACTGAAAGTTGGAAATGCGATATTTGAGGATAATCACTTGCAATGGATGGCTAACCGCGTGCGCACGGGATCTACGAGGAAGAAAAAGTGGTAGAGGACAGAAGCGGCAAATTCAATTGGGCAAAATCCAAATTAGTATTGGTAGAATTAGAATAAGAAAGTGACTGCTCAACGGTAACCTAGTGGCTACAAGTTACATATGGGAGTCGGGTGGTAGATGAGACGAGTGATCTTACGCTGAACCCGATAAAGAAAAGTGAGAAGGGGACGCAGCTTCACACCACACAGGACTGTAATGTTCAAGTGTACAGTAATTATGAGCTTTGTAAAGGGAGAATAGGTGAATAGTGGCGAAGAAACGTGCAGCTCAGGAGGCAAGTAGATAAATTTATGGTGACCATAAAAAGGAAGAAAAATTCCAACGGGTTGCATAAATCTCTGAAACGTAGTGTTTGAGATAAAATTCAATGATGGAGAGAAACATTGTTGGTTAAGAGGAATAGGCATAAGGGACGCTGCAATGATATTAAACAGAACAGGGTTGCGACAGCTCCAATCAGCAATAAAGTCGAGATTAAAATTGAAAAACAAACTACGGAAGTAGCGCTAATACTGGAGTTAGCGACGTATGAATAGGATAAAGAAGAGCCTACCTTTGCGATATCGGCAAAGGAGTGAATAGGATTTTGAGTTGGAGAAAGGACATCAGTCAATATCAGAAAGATGGAAGGGAAAAGTACAGAGCCTTGAGGGATAACAGCATATATCGGGACATGGTCCATTTATTCGAGCAGACATGCTGCGGTCCTTGAGTTAGCTTGTTGTCTAGGATATAAGTTGCAAAGCGGAGATGAACTTGGGTAGTTCAGCCAGCCGACCTGCGTCACCCAGACGTGAACGGAAGCTTTCGATATATCCAATAACACCATATGAGTTTCTGCGTGGTTTTTGAGTGGGGCTGAACATGTATGTGAAACGAGCACAAATGATTGATGTGACCGGAAACCGCAATAAAGGTTGCTCAGCGTCTTCTTCAATTTCAGGTAGTGGCGGAGTTTATCATTATTCACTGATTACGAAACCTTAGAAATAGAGAAAGATGAGGCGGTAGCTATTTGGGTCTGAGTGGTCACCGCGTTTAGGGATGGGAAATACTTCTGATATTTTCCATGGGGTCTGGAATACCCCTGAAGTGCAGAAGTAGAGATTGGAAGAAGGGAACCGAATTTTCAGCTGCATATTCTATATCTTTGGCAAATCAAGTTGTCCCACTATCATATCAAGATGTCCTCGGATTATTTCAAGATGCCCGGGAATCATTTCAAGTTGTCTGACCATTATTTCAAGATTTCTGGTGATTATTTTAAGTTGTCCCCGTATCATTTCAAGATGTCCTCTGATTATTTCAAACTGTCGCGTTGACCTCACCGGTGCTGACAAACCTCCCAGCGATGTCTGAATGACTACCATGCAACACCGTTTTCTCTATCTCCCGTTGAAGTACAGGGGTTGATTGTGAGACGGGATTTGGACACGCCTCAATTCTCATGGCACACATCGGTTGTTTATCTAGTAGGCGTATGCCTCTGTGTGTCCCCTTCTGTTGATACCAGTGAATCATGCGCGATCATCGCTTGAGCCATTGCTTACCGCTATCGCACGATGCTGCAATGGAATTCATAAGCTACATCTCAAGCAGTTGAACTGAGACACCAATAGATCATGCTCGATCGATATCGGTGTTGCATGGAAGTCATTCAGACATTGCTGGGAGGCTTGTCAGCACCGGTGAGGTCAACGCGACAGTTTGAAATAATCAGAGGACATCTTGATATGATAGTGGGACAACTTGATTTGCGAAAGGTATGGAACTCGAGATGGGTGAGAGTGGGGTGAACGGGGTAGCAGTAATTGAATGATGGATAAACGCATAAGCAACAGGTATGGAGATGAAGTGTGAAGGGAAAATACTTGGGAAGGTGAAGATGGGTGGTGTCCATAGAAGAATAAATTTATTTTGGATAATTAGTGCAAGAAGGGAAGTGGACTGAAGATACTGATGTACAGAATCCATATCGTGTTTCAAGTTGAGCATGGTAGTGAGTGCGATTGTCGAATGAGAGTGCGCATGAATAGTGACCCTGATAGTCGATGTATACATAGTGAGATGTGAGGTGAGAGGCATCTTNGAATCCAGATGACTGGGTGGTAATAATGACCCGGAAGATAACGGAACAGTCTACCCAATCGCAAAGTGTAGATTCGTCCAACGGGCATAACCCTCTTTTAAATGAACTTTAGAGTAAAAAGGACAATTTTCAAATGTACTCGTGCAAAAAACACGGAAAGTACACTAGTCGTTAAAGTAATCCCAACAATAATTTATTACCCTCCGGCATTTTTTGCTTGCACCTTCACCAGATCACACCTCAAATATACAGCTTCTCGTTCAAGACTTTCAAGATGTTCCCGTTTTACTTTCGTTCCTGAGTTTCAGGACGTGAAAACATTCCATTCACTAAGTGCTAAATATACAAGCAAATTATATCAATTGAATATACCCACGCGTATGCTGCCTCATAACAAGTGATTATTATTTTGCCAAGTATTGTGCCCTTGATCAGCCATTGATTTAATACTTGTTCACGGTTCAGTTTTCTGCCATTGATCTTTGTTCGCATACTTAACGCTTATCTGTTTGCCAATCGCTGTCGAGCATGTGCAAGTAAATAACCACAAATCGAACGACAGATACTACTCGTATGGTCGCCCAACAATTCCAATTCGGCATCGATTGGCATTTGACTGACGATCATTTTGTGCAGTTGCAGTATCACGTCTGTTGTTCTTGTTTCTGACTGGTTCAGAATCGATTCGTTCGGAACTCGAATAGTTTTGGCACCTAACCAGTTCCATCGTTTTTCAATTTTTTTTTTCTTAGTACGACTAAAATCACTATTGTGTAACGATTTAGCATAGAGCACCGTTCGAACAGGTCTGGTTCAACCTGCTAAAAATAGTAAAACGTTTTGAAGTATAGCAGGATCTGTTCCTCGGATAAGACAACTATCTTGTCTGTACTTTAATTGAAATCAAACAAACTAGGGTAATCCATATCTCAATTTCACAATAGCTCACATTTATGTTATTTAAAGTACGATGGAAATAATAGAATCTAGTGAAAACCTTCATACTAAACACCTGTTCTTCATTGCTCGTTTTGGTTTGAAAAGATAATACTGATTTATCTACTTCCCACTGTTGCACTCATTTATCTACTTGATCTTCTTTAAACTCAAAGCAAATAATCTTCCATGGGTGTATTACGCAATAAAATTATTGATGCAACATTGTTTATATCATGGTTTCCGGAACCTCAATTTAAATGAACAATAAACCTGTGGAATAATTCTTGATTCCAATTATGTAAAACGGGGTATAAAAGATAAATAAAATAGGTTGATCGGTTAGATTTTTACTTCATATATTACTCACATGAAGATATTTTGGAGTTTTCCAGTCACTACTAGACTACTGTTCAAGGACCAAGCTAACGACATCGAAAATATTATCTAACTGTGTGACCGCTGGAGCTACCCGTAAAAATTTAAAATTATCAGGTTTTTTTCAAAACAGCAAGCATCAAATGCTTACCGGATTTATGGTTATTTAAATAAAACCCATTTAAAGATTTCTCTTTCCCATGCGTTGGTTGTTAGTTCTGGCCATCTATGTGATTGTACAACCATGGCGTAAACGGAGAAGAGGAAAGCTGGGAGATTTACAAAGTTAAAGAAAGGAAGTAGTCGAACTAGTATGCAAAAGATCGGGTTGATGCATGAACTCTACTATTTACGCCACTCAGGTATGTCAATCTGTCTCTAATCGGAAATTGAATTGACACTGAGGTCTCCAACCGCCGAAGCGTATTCATATAGTCAGTTCCCCTGATCAGGGGTTGTATTCCCCCTAACCAGGCTCGGTCCGACAATCGTTAACCCTCTACAACTTGTATAGTGCAGAAATTCAGTCACTAACCTTTTAGTTCCTCGCCCTGGCTAGAAAATCTACATCAGCCCAATGCTGAAGGGTTTCACATATCTGTGTTATCCACCAATTATGTTTTTGCGGATTGTACGGTTTTCGCGTAGCCTTTGGTAACTTATTATTATAATTTTTAACACCGGCTTGTAAACAAGCATAGCACTAGCGCCAGAACAATAATAACAATAACAATAATAGAGGATAGGTGGATTGGAATACAGAATAAAGTGGAAAGGGGGTGAAACAGTTAAGCAAGGGAAAATGATAGATGACTGGGATAACAAAATATTTTTTTGTTTCACCGTATATCTTTTGATATTTTTTGTGTGTGATTTGTTTGTTGTTCTTACTGGGCACGGGAGTTCGACAGGGAAACCGTACAGCATTCGCGCCACTGACTTCTATTCTAGGCTATATCTCTCAGCATCTCTAACCCAAAGACAATTCCCATCCTTCGAGCACCAACCTGGAAGGCGGGCTGCACCAACCAAAGCCAAAACTGAAGCTAACGTCTTCATACCTCTACGTCATGTCATGGTCTGAACGCCACAACATTTCTTCCAGCCTTGCCTAGCATGTGCAAGAGAGCGCAGAAGGGTAGACGATGGGCAGGCATACGGAAAATATAGCCAAGCCATCGGAGGCGGTGTAGAGTGATTATTTCTGTCAGGGAATGACTATCCACACCCAACACACGATGACGGACCTCGTCATTGCTCACCCGATGTTCCCACCAGACACGAGCAATGCTTGGGAGACATTGGTGGTCGATTAGCATCCTCCACTCGGAGAGGCCAGGTTTNAGACGATGGGCAGGCATACGGAAAATATAGCCAAGCCATCGGAGGCGGTGTAGAGTGATTATTTCTGTCAGGGAATGACTATCCACACCCAACACACGACGACGGACCTCGTCATTGCTCACCCGATGTTCCCACCAGACACGAGCAATGCTTGGGAGAAGTCGGTGGTCGAACACAGAAAGTCGATTAACATCCAGGGCCAGGTCTCGCAATCGTAAAGGAGAATGTTACGAACGGCGGTGATGTACACCCTCTCCTCATTGGACAGTAGGATGTCATGGAGGCGGCACTTAAAGGCGTCTTGAAGTGGGACTTGTTCCACTCAGTGCGTTAACTGATCATCGAGCACTGTGTTCTTTGTTAACTCACGACGCCCAATACCGTATCATATCATAAAGCGCAGCAACTCTGGGCGATATTATTCACCTGTGCGTTTGCAGTTCACTGAACCTTTTGGTTTCTGTTTCACTTTTTCCTTTCAGGGCTTCTGTAAACAACCAACCACAAAGGATCGGTCTACCGTGATTCCTCTCAGACTCCGCTCCTCGATGTCTCACGTGCACCGTATTGCCCGACAAACCGGCTAATTCATGAGCTGCTTCGTATCGCCTCGAGTCGCCAAGTCTGCAATGAGTGGGATATCCCGGCACAAATTCGTATGGATTCAACCGTTAGGTTCTGCTTCTGACCAAAGCACCTTTCTTTGTATCGTTTATTGGTTAGTTAAGTAATGAAATATAGGTGCGATCAGTAGATTCATCTCAAAACGACACAGCAGAACTAGCCAATATACCGCAATCAAACAATTGGTCAATAACAGTAACTTTGAATATCACATTATCGTCTACCAAGGTTTCTGTATTTATGACTTAAACGTATTCCAGAACCTGTCTGGAATCTGTCTAGCTTATCATTCTCTTGACAAAATGTTACAATGGAGAGCCCTATCCTGGATTACTTACTAGAGTTGAAGCATACACAAAATAAATCTGTTGAATTTTGTCAAATATCGAACAATAGGAGCATGCGAGAACAAAATCTCACGAGTTTATCGTTGATCTCCAAAGGAACAGACCGAATATCGGTCAAATGCATCAGAGCTGAGATATCCGCGGGACGAATAGTATCACAAATCAACGGGGCATGTTTTAAAACTGTGAGCCAAAATCCAGGAATCCCTTTCCCGCTGGACTTGTGCAAATCACCTGGACGGACGAGGGCAAGAATATTGAGCTAAATTTAGTATTACAATAATCAAACGGGAAAACAGTTTGCTGAATCATAAAAAGCACACCACTGAAAGAAATACACAGCATCAGATATCGAAAAGGTTCAATAACACGGCTGGAAGTGTGTTGACGAGCTTTGGAGCATGTACGCCGGTTGTCACGAAAACCTCATACGTCATATGCGTTTAGAAATCCGCAATGCAAACACTCCACTTCACTCAAGTCCAGAACAGAATTAAACAATTTATGCAATAAACATTAGGTTTAAAAAGTTTTAAACCACACTTCGCACAGCTGAATCATATATTTGTCCATGAATTATCTGACTAATATTATTCGATATTATGTCAACACGAAGTAGCAAGTTTAATCTTTTTTCGGTGCCACGAAAATATTGCGTGGAAAAATGCGGTCGCTTATCAGGAGCATACATTTTGCGACTGAACCCCACATCGTCAGTAAGCTCCGACGACTTTCTTTTCATATCCGCAAGCTTTGTCAGTTTCGTATCCAACAATCAATCATTTCTAAATTTGTATACCAGTGTGTCTTCCCCGTTTTACTCTACTGTTCACCAGTTATTTTTCCCAACCTCCTAAAGAAGGATTTTAATTTGCTTCGACGTGGAATAACCATTATTAGTCATGTCTCTTCAATCCCGCTAAAGGAGCTGGTAACTAACCTATGCAAACGTCATTTGAATGCATGTGAAAAGTTTGCACATAAGATTCTCATGGACTCCACACATCCATTACATGCAGATTTAACTTCCTGTCGTTCCCACCCTTCCACGAGATCACAATATCATTGTGTTCCCTCTCGAATAAACGTTTATCGTAACTCCACAGTACCCTCATTAGCACGTATTCTTGTTAACAAAGAGCAGGTTTTCACAGACTTTGTTAACAGTTTTCGGATTTAATTTCCGTTTCTTTTCCATTGTAATTGTTTTTTATATATATTTTTCCCCCTTACCCCAAACTGTGTACTTTTAACTGAAATGTAGGCTTTATGCCTGCAGAAGTTATCACAATACAATACAATACAATACAATTCTAGTAGCACTGAACCGTTTCCTAAGTATGCAGACCAAAGACAAATTGCCGCCGGATGCCACAGTTGCTTTGTATTCAAGATGTACTTCAAGCGTTCTTTCCTATCCCTCTATATACACCCAGTTGAAGTTTATCGAAAGCAGTCTAGTCCAGGAGTTTGTCAATAGCCCAAAAGCGCAGAACCACTTTGTAATAACACTGGTTATATCATGGTCATTTACGCATAATCTGGTTACGTAACCCTCTTTTCCACCCACGATCAACCCCTCTTCCTACTTTCCATACAGAATAACACACACATATGCACACATACATACACACAAACGAACAGTATTTGAACGTCTCTTCTCATCGCATGATTAGTCTACCACAAATGTGCTGTATTTAGCCAACTTTTTTCTCACAATCAATCCATGGGGGGATGTTTTCACATTGCCAAATATTGTTTGTAGGATATACCGCATTAACATCTTGTCTGGTTCACATAAAACCTACTGCAGTTGATTAAATTTCTAAAAATCAATTTTAAGAAAATAACCACACAGTCGGGTGAACTGTACCACGTTAGTACTCCCCCTTGCAAACCTATTTTACAGGAGGATTCCACAATAACGTTTATAAAGTCGGAGAAACAAACAGGAATAACACAATCATTCTGTTGAGACTATAAATGGAATTAGTGTGATGAATTCATGATGTATAACATTTCAACCCTTAGCTTATACAGCTTTAATGGGAACGACAGGAGGGACTTGTTATCTTGGTGTCCAGTGTGCACGTTTGACCACTTGACTCCGGTCAGAAAAATGTGAGATACCCAGGATTCCTCATCTCGACGTGCATTGTTTGCATCTATCTTTTGCCCCCTCCCCCCCCCCCCCGNATCTATGTTTACCATGACAGATCCATAGATTTTTCATTGAGAGGCACATACTCCACGTGACCTGGAAGCAAAAGTCAAGTCTATTCACCCCGATTTCACACAGCGATAGAAAAATAAACTCTAATGAAAGTTGGAGCAGCCTGTGCTTTAAATTTCTCTTCTTGTCACTTGATTTGTTCAAAGGAGATACCAGAATCTGAAAAGTATTTAAGATGCAGAAACACAAGCCAGTTCAAACAAAATAGGCCTGGAGTATATCAATCTTCATGTGCTGAAAAAGGGTGAAAATACAATGGTTTTCGCCGCATGTGGTTGGAAACAGGGGGTCGATATTGGAAGATTGAGTGGTTTTCAATAACATCAGTAGGTAAAACCACATTGGAAGTGTGTCTTATTGTTGACTTTTTGTTGACGAAGGCGCGGATCCGATGAATGACAAAATCGAGACAGACAAACAGAATGACGGGATTAAAAAAAAGTTAACCCCATCAATCAAACCGAGCCGACTCCGTTGGAGGCCATGCAAACACATGTGCAATGAGCGAGACTATTCTCACTTTGGAGTGTAAGCAATCAAGTCACTGAAAGCAGAGGGTATTCTAATCATGGTATCAGTATGCGTTGGCTCGTACTAATGCTGGGATTCATAAATTGACCAAACTAAACCACAGTGAATGATCCAAACTGGGCGAGCACAAAGCCAGATTGGGAGAGAGGGAGATTGAGAGAAATTGGGAATATTATCCCACTTACGATCGAGTGCAGTGTTATTGGCATCGCCTTCGTTGGGAGATTTTATAAGTTTTCCTGGGGATTCTATCTCCTCATCGTCACTGAGAAACCATTTGGTCTCTTCCGCACTGGGTTCGATATCACCGGAAACAATTGCTCGCCTCTGGAATCGAAAGGTAGTAAATGCGTAGATAGATTAGATAGATAGATAGATAGATAGATGGATAGATAGATAGATAGATAGATAGATAGATAGATAGATAGATACAAAGATAGACCAATGGAAACATCCAAAAGACGAAGTACAGTCTAGAAGTTCAAAAGGGTGTTTTTTTGTCTAAAAATGACGTTTTAACTGTTCCCTTTGAAACAATGTAAAAAGGGAATCCGTAATGTATTCGAGTATATATGTATGTACGTATCTGAGTCAGTTCCCCAAAATTAGTACAACTATTCATTTTACTAATAATAGCTTACACTCAGAAAGGTTTTTACTTATATGTCGTACTGAGAACACTTAAAATGGTGCATCACTGTGATCTGAAGATCCACCGATTATAGCTAAGCTCATAATAATCAGATAGTCAGATTGAAGAAATGATTTGGAGTGAATAAAAAGTAGCCAAGTTAAACTCTTGACAAATGACGATATTTGTGAATGAACGCCAATATAAGACATCAAAATGTCTAAACATGTCCGCTCAGAGCGAAATCTGTGACTTTGGCTGTAATTTCAGCTAAATTGAACAAAATCCAGCAAATCATTCATAAATCAGATAAAGAGATGATTTCTATTTCCCTGTACTATCCTCATGAATACATGTTTTCAGTTTTCAGAATCAAAGGTTTCTCGAGTTTTCGTCAACCTATATCTATCCATTGCTTTCCAATGTTCACTGCTTAGTCATATTCTTTGCTTTAAAATCACTCTTTCGTAACATTTATGGTTTGTCAGGTAACGGACTGTATTAGCCGTGTGGTTATTGGGTTTCTGTTTGTATTTGTATAACTTGTGTAAGCATATATGCTTACATTTCAGTTATTTCGTGATTAATAAAAATAAATAACACTTGTATTGTTTATTAAGATTCTGCAAAGCTTAAGAATAAATAGTCTGAGCCAAATATCTCCACACATACTTTTGCTTCGCTAACATATATAAGCAATTACGTACATACATGTATGTATGTATGTATGTATGTATGTATGTATGTATGTATGTATGTATGTATGTATGCATGTATGTTTGTATGTACGTGTGTATCGTGCCCTCAAGCAAATCATGGACCTTTGTGTTTTTATAAAGATTATTGTACTGTGATTTGTTTGGCGCGCAGTCTGAACGCAGACGTGTATGCAAATATGTGTGAGGAAAAACATGTGTGTACATATGTAGCAGGCCGAAAGTGCTTCAACCACGTTTCCCAGAATGGAAGCAAATGATTAAAGAACTTAGGTCATTATATAGGCAGAATAAGATATGTAACTAATGAAGTTATTGCAATAGCAGCGTCATTATTAGAATTATTTTTTTAAAGTGAACATTCGTCGTGTATATGCCCAATGAAGCGTGAACTGAAAAGCTAGGAAGCATTGGATAGCTGTTTCGATTTGGTTGGGTCTCGTCAGCAGTGTGAATCCATTGACCAACTGAGATCGAACTCAGAACGTCAGCAGGCTACCCTCCATTACTCACATGAAATAAGTTGTCTGGTTTTGATTGTTTCCAATGGAGTCAAAATCCCGGAGGCTAGTGCTAAGATGAGCGGGGTCTGTAGCCTTCAAGAATATCACAAAACGGGTTGTGCTATATCATGTAAATGGAAAATCAAAGACTGTCTGATCAGCTGCTCGGTG